CCCCCCCCTTTTTTTTTTAAAGCAAGTGAAATATTACCGTACGGTTCATTTTGTACAGAAAAATAACAGCACATCTCTCACGCTCGTTCGGATAAAGTAGTAAAGCATCGATACACCACATATTTGAGTCAGTATCAATATGAATATCCATAATTCTTTGGGGCCCAACGGTGAATGCCTTCTAAAACTAGACACTAGTCACTAGATCTAGATATACTAGTCTAGAATATCTAGACATTCTTGATTCTAGATCTATGATAAGTTACTAAACTAGGTACTTTATTTCACTGCACTTTACATTTAACTACTAAACATAAACGCTCTCGAAGGCTATAGGGACTAGATCTAGATCTAGATCAAGAGTAGAAGTAGAGAGTCAAGACCATGATTGTCAAGAACTCTAGACATCAGACTCAGACATCACATTCTTTCATTATTCTACATTTCTTCTATTATTCTATCTTAGATCTAGAGTAAGAATTAGAGGCTAAATGATCAAAACGCAGCAGAAAAGACAATATATCATGCAGCAGTGTTTGGACTTACCACGGTTACGGGGTCAGCTTCAGCCATGGCTGCTAATAAATAATCACTAACGTGTTTTCGTGCAAAAGTTGATAAAACGGAGTCGGGAAAAGTTAGTTTACACTGGTTGCTATTTCAAGCCACCATTTTAGAAATATGTGCTCACTGCGCATGTTCCGGATATATGGCAATTTGATGTGTATGTTTTTATAAGTTTTGTACCAGATATATTAGGTGCCAGATATTTCACGACATGATGCATTATTAATATGTACATGGTATAAAATGGTTTATTAAAATTTATCTGGCACTCAGTTCCACTACAACAACGTAATGATAGGCGTACCTGTAAGTCTATAGAAAGTGTTGTTGATTTTTCTTTTATATGGTTTCAATGTTTCTGCCAGTGTTCTTTTAGTAGGTAGATCTACATGTAGACCCATGATGTACGCTACCGCAGATGGTAAGATGGTTTAATTGATGCATCAGAGCAAAAACAGACAAACAAACAGAACAAACAAACAAAAAAAAGCCAACCCAGAAACATCATTTGAAAGCCTGCACCCCCCTTTCTTCGTGTGTGTATGTGTGTGAGAGTGTGTGTGTGTGAGAGAGAGAGAGAGAGGGGGGGTGGAGGGGGGAGTGAGTGAGAGAGAGA